TCCATAGAAGGTTGGCTCCATTCCTTGGGGCTCAAGGTGAGGCAGAACATCATGGCAGAAGAGTGTGGCAGAGGGCAGCATCTCACATGATGATCAGGAAGCAGAGAGATGTATTCATTCTGCAATACAAAATATACCCCAAAGCCCCCCCCCCAATTCCTATCTCTTCCAGCCACACCCCACCACTTCAATTATCACTCAATTAATCCCTGTCAGGGGATTAAGTCACTGATTGGATTAAGACTCTTACAACCCAATCATTTCTCCTCTGAAACTTCTTGCATTGTCTCACACATGAGTTTTTGAGAGACACTCAGATCCAAGCCATAACACTGTGGGTAATATCCTGAAAGGATACATTTAGCTCCCAGCCCCATCTTTTCTCTCTCCTTACCCACCCCCATCTCTCTCCACCCTTCCACCCCATTCCCCTTCCCTGCTACATGGTCAAGATGTTCTATCTTTCCAAAGGCCCAAAGCATTCAGGCCAAGTGATTCAAGTATCTATGGACTGAAGCATCAGAAACCATGAACCAAAATAAATCTTTCCTCCTGTAAGTTGATTTTCTCAGGTACTTTGTCACAGTCACAAAAAGCCGACTCACACACTCAACAAGAGCACATAGTTGAGAAAGTTCAGAGGGGGTCTGTTGTGACTCTCCCTAAGGCACCTGCTCAAAGGGGACACAAGCTTTACTTTGTGCTGCTTTTAAAGTTTATGATTGCCCCGTGGCTAGAACAAGGGCAAGGGCAAGCTCAAGGACACCATCCACATATCTGAAGGCAGAGTGGGGCTGAATCCTCCCATGAGATTAGCTGGTATGCAACTCTGTGTGGCAGGTTGAACCCCTGAGACGGAGATCCCTGCTTTGAACTGGAGGTCTTGTTTAGACTCTAGACTTCAGACCCCAGGACTCTGCTGGTACCACACCTAGTTCCACTCAATGGTTATTGAGATGCCATAATAACTCAGGGAAATACTTGCAATTGTATTGACCATCCAGACTTTGCATACAACCTAGAATAATGACACTGTATTTCCTATGTCCCCTCCTCTCCTCATCTGGCCATGGGAAGGATGATGGCACCAGTAGGAGCAGTGGTGATGGCTGCCTTGACAGCAGTCCTGGTGGCTGCAGTGGTGGTAGTTACTGTCGGTGATGGTGATAACGATGCTGCGGGCTTGGTCGGTCAGTGTGGTGGTGATGGTGTTGGTGTTATTGGAATGACAATGGGGACATTGGTGGTGGTAATGAGGCAAAGGTCACAGTGATGGTGTTGACAGTGGTCTTGTTCATTATGGCAGGATGGTGGTTATGAGGATCTGGTTGGTGGCCAGGCATGATGACCAGGAGTTGATGGTAGCAGTGTTGGAGATGACCAGGTAGATGCTGGTTGCTATTTATATATAAACCTGGATGACAGGGGTGGAGATTTCTATTTGAGGAAGATTCCCCCAAACGATCCTATCACACCAGTTATAAGATAATTTCCCAGGATCTCCTGGGTAGTGCAACCAAATAAAGAACTCTCATCCCATGATATAATCTGCAGATGGAGTTCACCAAATATTTCCCAAAGCATGGCTTTCTGAACACTTATTCCAAAGAATGATCCATGAAAGCCAAATGAGCTAGTTAAACCCTGGGATTTCTTTCCTCTTCTTGGAAAGCTGCTGTATACATCCATGTGCTCTGGACTCTCAGAGCCTCTATAATCTGCAGCAAAAATCTGTCTCACTGTGTCCACTCCAGTGTTTCCCAAGCATCTTTGGTCCTCTTTCTGTGGAGGAGGTGAAGGGTCCCTGTTGACCATAATGCAGAGCAGCTAGAGGAACACTAAACAGCACGTGAAATGAAGAAATAAATAAATAAAACTTTGAAAAAAGCATCCCCTGTTGGGACTGATTTTTACGTGCTTGGTAAGAATGGCCGGCTTTAGGTTAGCTTAAATTATGTCTTACATTACACATGGAAAAGATCATCTTAAATTTCCATAAGCAGAATTGACCAAGGAATACATTAGACATGTAAATTAGGGGTATTATTAGAAACAAGCCTCAAAAATGAAATTGCATTAACTCTATAAAACATTTACAACCTAAGAAACCCATATCCTTTTATTCCATACTCATAAAATTGGTAATTTGGTTATTATAGAAAAGTGGTCCTTGTTTACTTTGGAGCCTGGAGCTGGGTTAATGAACTAACCTCGGATGATTGGAAGGAAGTGGTCTTTTCAGCTCTCACCAGTCTGCGGTTCTCCACTAATGTGCAGAGATCACCTGGGGTCAAGTTCCCATGCCTCGATGTTAGGGAGCAGCTTGGTGCCGCCAGGAATGTGTGTTATTAGCAGTGACTTCAGTGCTGACCTGGCTTTGAGAAGTTCCAACAGAACCCATGTTGGAGTGTTTTCCCCTGCTCTGTCTACCAGCAGAGGCAAGATTCCTGTCCAGGAGCAGCCAGGTGAGGGGAGGTGGAAGGTGGACCACTCAGGTCTCTGCCCTAAGGCCATATCTATTAGCTGCAAGGCCAGAGTGCATGCCCCCCCCACCCCCACAGTTGCTTATGGAATCAGGAAGATGACTTCTTGGTTTCTAGAAGCATCCCTCTGCCACTGTGTAACATCAGTCTTAACACGAATAATGCAAAAAAAAAAAAAAAGGAGCTAAGCAGTTTAAATTTTATCTATAAAATTAAGCCCTGTGTTTTGCCACAGCATTTAACTCCATGACCTATTTCATTGAATCCTCTGGCACTGATCCTGGACAGTTTCCTTCAGTGTAAATTGCCACAAAGGTAAATTGAAAACGTATCAAGAAATGGGCAAGGATATTAGTGCAGAATCAAGGAGTCATTGAGCTTCGGTGTTCTGCAGATTCTTTTTTTAATCTCCTTTCAGTACACTACAGTGGGAAGAATTGATTTGGTGAACAAGGCCTCACCTGTGTCATGTCACCATTTGCCCTCTGCAGTGACGGCAGCTGTTCAGATGTCCCATCCTCCCAAAAACCTGCTCCAGCCTGCTCAGAGCTTTTCTGGACTCCCGAAGCTGCCCTCGTGTGCCTCTGCCCAACATGGGTGGCAATTCCTCTCCTGAGGTCCAAAGACCCCCATCCCCAGGAGAGCAGGACTCCCTCCATGTTTATTTCTGAAACTACAGTGCTGACGGGCTACCTGGCTTGGAATGCTGTCTGTGGATTCAATGAACATCTCCTCTTGCCTTACAAAGAAGGAAGAGAAATTGTGTTTGGAGTACATGTGGAGGAGGTAGACCTAGATTCAGGGGTATTTCCAGTGTGCTCTCCAACCGTGGCTACCCCTGAACTTCTCTCTGTCCCCTACCCTAAGTCATTGATTCTCATACCAGCCCTCTGAAATATGTAGCATTACTTATTCTCATTGTACAGGCAAAGGAACTGAAATTTCTCAAGTTCCTACCCATCTCCCAAGCCCCCTTCTTGAGAAGTTGAAGTGACAGATTGCCCAGGGAACAGGGCCACTTTTCACAGATCACACACACAGAGGTTGCCCAAGGCGCCATCCTGAGCTGCTCCCCCATGAGACCTCCCATGACTTATCCCCAGTCAGAAGTGCCTGTTTACAGTTGTGCCCACCACTCCATCCCTCCTGCCTTTCATCCTGTGGAAAGTTCCTGCCAGGTCTAAGGTCCCCAAAGAAAAGGTCATACGTTTCTGAGGATCCCAGCAACACCGACATCTAGAGTTCTGGTGGGTTCTTTATAAAAACTTAACACCAAAAGAACAAACAGCCCAATCAATAAATGGGCTAAGGAGCTGAACAGACACTTCTCAGAAGAGAGATACAATCAATCAACAAATATGTGAAAAAATGTTCAAAGTCTCCAGTAATTAGAGAAATGCAAATCAAAATAACTCTAAGATTTCATCTCAGGCCAGTCAGAATGGCAGCTATCAAGAATACAAACAACAACAAGTGTTGGTGAGGATGTGGGAGAAAAGGTACACTCATACATTGCTGGTAGAACTACAAATTGGTGCAACCAATCTGGAAAGCAGTATGGAGATCCTTAGAAAACTTGGAATGGAACCACCATTTGACCCAGCCATCCCACACCTTGGTCTATACCCAAAGGACTTAAAATCAGGATACTATAGTGGTGCAGCCACATCAATGTTTACAGTAGCTCAATTCACAATAGCTAAATTGTGGAATCAACCTAGATGCCCTTCAATATGAATGGATAAAGAAACTGGGGTATATTTGCATAATGGAATATTACTCAGCATTAAAAGAATAAAATCATGGCGTTTGCAGGTAAAGGGATGGAGTTGGAGAATATCATGCTAAGCGAAGTAAGCCAATCCCAAAAAACCAAAGGCCAGATGTGCTCTCTGATAAGTGGATGCTGATCCTTAATGAGTGGGGGACATGGGGAAAATGGAGAAACTTTGGGCAAAGGGAAGGGAGGGGTGGGGAGGAGTCATGCCGGCAGGAAAGATGGTGGAATGAGATGGACATTGTTACCTTGGTACTGCACATATGGTATGACACTACATCTTGTACAGAGAAATGAAAAGTTATGTTGCATTTGTGTACAATGAACCAAAAAGCATTCTGCTGTCATATGTACCTAATTAGAATAAATGAATAAATTTATAAAGAAAAAAAAATAGAGTTCTGGTGAGTTCCTTTTAAAACTCACCCACTCTGAAAGGATACATTTGTTCAGCACACAGCCAGGAGTTAAATGGTGGGAGTTGGAGGCATAAAAAAGAAAAAAAAATGGTTCTAATGTCTGAAAAGCAGTAGGACCCCAAGCAGGCAGCCACCTGACCAGGGGCTTTGTCACTACCCAGACACAGGCACTGCCAGCCCAAGTGCCAAATGCCTGGGACCAGAGATGATTGTGGAGAACGGGGCAGGAGAGAGAGAGAGAACAAAAGTCCTTTCTGTCCAGTCCCAGAGGGAAATTTAAACCCTTTGCAATATTGATGCTTTGTTGTTTACTTGGCTAAGTTTTTACGAAGTTGTGCACATAGAAAGTAGGACATTTGGAAATGAAAGGAAGAAAAAAACCTCATGCTGACAAGCTTGGGCACTGTAAATTCTGGAGGGGGGGGGGCTTCGTAAAGTGCAGGAAGAGTTTGCTGATTGAAAGAATCTTTCACTGCACAGACAGAAGGAAGGGAAATGGCGGGCAGTGCACCATGGGCACTGGGCAGGTAAGACAGGCCATCCGGCTTCCAGCAGCCAGCTGTGCTTCCAGAGGGCCTGGGGCCTCTACTTCGAAACAGCAGGACTCCTGGATCAGCTTTTCTCTCTACCACAGGCTTCTGTGATGGAGACACGCAGTGGCCTCCGAAATTGATGGGCACTGCTGGCCAGCAGGGCGGAGAGTTGTCTCGAGTTCACTTGGTCTGTGCAGGCCAGGAGCTCTCTGGTTAAAGAGAAAAAAAAAAAGGCAAAATTGTTAAATACACTTGGAATGTGATGTCAAAATAAAGAGAAGGCATCAAAGCTCAATTGCTTCTGGCCAGACCCCCATGTTTTCCAGGCTTAGCTTGGAAGTCGATTTAAATCACAATAATCTCTTTTTAAAAGCATGCTGTGTCTGTTTGGTTCTGATTTGAGATCCTGGGCTTTTGCTTTTTTAAATTTTTTTTCCTCACCTGCTCCATTACCCGGCTTGTCTTTCCTTGTTTACTTGATTCCCAGCAGCTCTTGCAACAGTTGCTCCTGAGCTGTCTTAGAGTTTGCCTTTCAAGGCCTTGTTTCCCAGGGTGCTTTTCAACCAGCACAACCAAAAAAAAAAAAAAAAAAAGAGGAAGAAAATGGACAAAAGGGTACACTAAGTGGGTAGGGGCTGACTGTGGCTGTACCCACAGGGACACTGAGCTTCTCCCAGCAGAAGCCCCAGATTTACATCTGCACAGGGACGGGGAGAATGAGGACGTCTGCGCTCCCGGGAAGCCACGTCTGAGCATTACCTAATGCTTTTCTCAATGGTTTTGACACGTGTAGTTTTGTTTTAAATATGCATGGTAATTCTTAATAAAGTACTGATAAATGCGCCAAGGCATTCTCCGTGGAAATAATGAAGTTTTTATAGTTTGGAATGCCATTAAGTCTTGGCTTCATGGTTTGTGAGGCTGCTAGCATTTTAAACAGCAGTAACGTTTTACTGAAGCCAGTCTTGCTGGGGGAGGTGGTCTCATTTCTCAGGCCAGTTCCAGAGGGGGAAGTTCCTCCATCATGCCCCAGAGTGGCCTGGTCTGGGTCCATCAGGATAGTAGCAAAAGCACAGACAGCCTTGGATTCCAATCCTCATCCCACCATTTTCTGGTAGTTTTGGTAAGTCACAGGTGGACATGAGTGGTAGGAAAATGAGGTTAAAGAGATGATCCTATAAACCAGGCCCACTCTGCTGACCCCCACATGCTTTCTTTTTAAAAGCAATTTACCTGCAACCCTGCCTGGCTTAAGTCAACAGAATCTGTTAAATTCCCCAGCAAACAAACAACCTGTTCTCTGAGGGAGAAACACAGGCCTGAAATGATGATAAGAAGGACACAAGTTACCCTGAAGGGGCAGAATTTTGTGACCATTTCACAAACCAGCTTCCAGAACTCAACGAGATAAGGATATTTCTTCCTACCCATAAAGTCTGTTAAGAACAAGTTCCAGTTAGAACCAGTCAGCACGGGCCAAGAGGACCTAGAGTGGCTCTGGACCTTTACCACACACAGTGGGCACTTGAAAGTCCAATGCCATCCTGTTATCAGTTAAAATTCGAGAGGTGCCCTTGGGTGAAGCGCTGGAAACTTAGCTGGGGCACACAATAAACTGGAGGGCAAGAGGAGTGAGCCATCCTTCTCCTCTCTAAGAGACCAACTCTGTCCCTTGAGAGTGTCCCCTTTTCCTGTCCCTACAACTCATGCCCACTACTCTGAGCACCATGTCTGAAATCTTCCTGGGGTAATTGCAAGAACTGAACGGTGGGCTGCTGCTGCCTCAGCTCTGTGATGGATCCTTGCCCTGTAACAACAGCATAACCATCGGAAAATCACACAACATTTTGGAATCTTTGTTACTGATGCAATTATTATTATTGCATAACAAACAGTATATGGTGGTATAACTTTACCATTTTGATAGGCTTATAGACTCAGCAGATCAGGAATCTGGACAGAGCACAATAGGGGCAGATTACCTCTGCTCCATGATGTCTGAAGACTCAGCTGAGACAACTCTAAGGCTGGGAGTGACCAGGTGGCTGGAGGCAGTGATCCTCTGTAGACTTCTTTACTTAAGTCTGGCAAGCCACACTGGGTATGGAGACTTTAATCTGTACTCTGGGGTCTCTCTGCATAGGCTACTTTGGGACTTCCCAGCATGCACTTGACTTCTGAGACACTGAACCCCAAGACCCTAAGTTGGAAGTGCCTCAGAATCCACACCTACCCTTCTGCCACTGGGTACATTAGTCACATGGAAGAGTGGCCAGGTTTTCCAAGAGTCCTTGGCTGTGAGATAATGCTGGGGCCATGTTTGCAGAACAAGTCTACCATAGTCCTCTCTTTTGCTGATCCTGCCAGGTCAGGGAGTGGAGAGAGTAACAATGACTGAGTCACCAGCTATGTGCCATGAGCTGTTCACGTTGGCTACCTGATTGTAATTGTGTGGGTCTTAACAATAGTATCCACACGCGCTTTCGTTGTTTCCAGATAAAGCATTTTATCAGTCAGCTTCAACTGCACCAAACCTCAACATATCAGGGATATGCTAGAAGAAACAGTTCATTTCTTGATCACAGATCTGTGGGTGGCTGGGACAGGGGGCTTACCCACCCACTCTGGGTCCAGGGAAATAGGAAGGGCAGTGACCACTTGCGTGTTCTTCTCATGGGGATGACACAGGCTCAGGATTGTAAGCCCCACCAAGCAAGTTTTGCATCTCTTCATGTCCCATCTGCTAATATCCCACTGGTCCGGCAGGTCTTCTAACCACGCCCAAAGTCAAGGGCTGGGGAAGTACGCTCTGCCTTGTGTAATGCTATAATGGCAGAATGAGGAATTGGGACCCATAATTCAACCTACCGTAGCCATTTTCTAGCACAAAGAAAATTGGATAAGGATATTGTGGCATTACAGCTAGTGTTTAACAGTATAATCTTGGATGCAAAATACCCATATAAAGTAGTAGGTTATCAAATTGCTAATAAAAGAATAATTCTACAAGCCCAGGTAGCATTTATCCCAGGTATTCAAGGACAATTTACCATAAAGATATCTATTAATATATCACATTACTAAGACAATATATTTTTATGAAACCTAAATCAGCATCTCAATACATACTTAAAAGTCATTCAATAAAATCCAATACCTATTCAGGGATTTTTTTTTGCACTTCTAGTAAATTAGAACTGCAAGGATCCTTCCCTAGACTGATGCACAATGGCATAACACTTCAGAGGCATTCTCACAGTCGCAAAGATATAGAAAAGAATGCCTGCTCACTGCCCTGATTTCCAATGGTATCCATCAAATTATAGAAAGGAGACTTGGTTTTCATTGTTTGCAGGTGATGTTCCTCTCTCCCTCCAAGGGAAAACTATTAGAATTAATAAGTTGAGTAAGGGAGCTTAGATCCAGGATAAACCAAGCAAAGTACTCAGTTTTCTATGTAAGAGTGGTAGTATTATGTACCGAAACAAATATGTACGATGAAATATAGTGAGAAAAAAATTCCATTCTCAAGAGTAATGGCCAGGAACATGTCCCTGAGTCTAACCTTGGCCAGATACCTGAAGGGTGCCAGGGGGCAGCAGTTCCGCCTTCTCCTGAGACACTCGACCAAGTGTGACCAAGTGGGAATAGCCACTTATTGATCAGGTTTCCAGTGAAAACACCAATGGGTGGACATTTTCCCTTTTTTATTCAACTGGAGAAAATAGTTCTGGAAGACTAAGTAGGTGTTCAGAAACTTCCTGCTGTGTCATCACACAGCATCAACTGTGTGATGCCGACTCCAGTTAGCACCATGGAGCATGAAGTCCACATTAAATGAACATATGATTAGAGAAAAACAGAATCAGGGGAGGTGGGGAGAAAATTTATATAATAAGAGAAAGTGAGACAGACATTTAAATAGTTGGAGGAAAAAGGCAATTGATTTCCTGCCCCATGTATTTCACTCAGCAAAATACTAAAGATAATCGACCCAAAGGTTACCATTATGAAACAGGGACCTACCCAGCAGCCAGTGGTGGGCAGACAGAACTTTCCAGAAGAGGCCAACCAAAGTCACAGGTCATATGAAAAGGGACATCCATTCCAAAGGAGGTGCCAGTCTGCAGATTCAGAGCAGGTGGCTTTCCACTTAAGGAGGAAAAGAGAATGTTTGTGTTTCTGGTTCTCTGCGAGACTGAGGGGAGTGGATGGCACAGGCAGAGGTGCAGGAGGAGCAGCCTGGGGACGGTGACATGCCAGATGAGTGGTCGGAGGAGACAGATAGGGAGGTGACTTCTAGCAATGAAACAGAATGACAACGCTATTCAAGAAATTCTATGAAACTCAGTAACAAGATAAGGAGACGAAACTCTTAAGACGAGACACAGAGAATCAATGCCAGACCGGAGCCGGGGAAGGCCTGTGAGTCGGTTGCCAGAGGGACCAACAGTCAGGCTGAGAACCTTCTTGTCAAGGAGAGTTCCTGTGTGTTGGTAGGTAGATAAGGAATGCAAGCGAGGGGGCACTTTACCAAAGAAGAAATGTGAGTGTGTGTGTGTATGTATGTATGTATGTATGTATATATATATATATTTTTTTCATTCCATTATTATGTAATCATTTAAAATGATATTTTCAAAAGGGCCAGTGGCCAAGAAAAATGATGATCATATAATCTCATAAAGATGATATATAACATTAAAAAGATAGTGCACCACGATCAAGTGGGGTTCATCCCAGAGATGCAGGGTTAGTTCAACATACAGAAATCAATAAACATAATTCAAAACATCAATAGACTTAAAGACAAGAATCACATGATTATCTCAATAGATACAGAAAGAGCATTTGACAAAATACAGCATCCATTCATGTTCAAAACATTAGAAAAACTAGGGATAGTAGGAACATACATCAACATTGTAAAAGCTATCTATGCTAAACCCAAGGCCAGCATCATTCTAAAAGGAGAAAAATTGAAAGCATTCCCTCTAAAAACGGGAACAAGACAAGGATACCCTCTTTCACCACTTCTTTCAACATAGTCCTGGAAACACTAGCCAGAAAATTAGACAGATGAAAGAAATTAAAGAGATACAAATAGGAAAAGAAGAATTCAAACTATCCATATTTGCTGACATGATTCTGTATTTAGATGACCCAAAAAAAATTCCACCAAAAAACTTCTAGAACTCATAAATGAATTCAGCAAAGTAGCAGGATATAAAATCAATACCCGTAAATCAATTGCATTCTTATACATCGGTGATGAATCAACCGAAATAGAAGTTAGGAAAACTATTCCATTCACAATAGCCTCCAAGAAAATAAAATATTTGGGAATCAATCTAACAAAAGAGGTGAAAGACCTCTATAATAAAAACTACAGAACATCTAAGAAAGAAATTTTAAAAGACTTTGGAGGATGGAGAGATCTCCCATGTTCTTGGATAGGCAGAATTTTAATATAAATATATTATTAATAAAACTGCTATACAGATTTAATGCAATTCCTATTAGGGTTCCAATGATGTTCTTCATAGAAATAAAGAAAGCAGTCATAAAATTCATTTGGAAAAATAAGAGATCCAGAATAGCCAGAGAAATCCTCAGCAAGAAAATGAAGCAGGAGACATCACAATAGAGCTATAGTAACAAATGGCTTGGTATTGGCACCAAAACAGACATGAAGACCAGTGGTACAGAACTGAAGACACGGAGACAAACTCACGTAAATACAGTTTCCTCATACTAGACAAAGGCACCAAAAACATACATCGGAGAAAAAAATAGCCTCTTCAACATGGTGCTGGGAAAACTGAAAATCCATTTGTGTAATAAAATTAAATTAGACCCCTATCTCTCACCCTGCACAAAACTCAACTTTAAGTGGGTCAAGGACCTAGCATTCGACCAGAGACCTTGCACCTACTAGAAGAAAAAGTAGATCCAAATCTCTATCATGTTGGCTTAGGAACCAACTTCCTCAACAAGACTCCTAAAGCAAAAAGTAGAATCAAGGATCAGTAAAAGGGATGTATCAAACTGAAAAGCTTCTTTACATTCTTTACAGAATGGGAGAAAATCATTGCCACCTGCACCTCAGATACAGCATTATTCTCCAGGATATATAATAAGAACTCAAAAAACTTAACAACAAAAAAACAACCCAGTCAATAAATGGTCAAAGGATCTGAACAGACACTTTACACAAGAAGAAATATGAATGGTCAACAAATATATGAAAAATGTTCAACAATTAGAGACATGCAAAATAAAACTACACTGAGATTTTGTCTCACTCCAGTCAAAATGGCAATTATCAAGAATACAAGTAACAAAAGTGTTAGCAAGGATGTGGGGGAAAAGTTACACTCATACATTACTAGTAGGACTGCAAATTGGTGCAACCACTTGAGAAAGCAGTATGGAGATTTCTCAGAAAACTTGGAATGGAACCACCATTTGACCCAGTTATCCCACTCCTCGGTTTATACCCAAAGGATTTAAAATCAGCATATGGCAGTGATGTAGTCACATCAATGTTTATAGCAGTTCAATTCACAATAGGCTAAGCTATGGAACCAATCTAGGTGCCCTTCAATAGGTGAATGGATAAAGAAAATGTGGCTAATATACACAATGGAAAATTACTCAGTCATAAAGAATGAAATTATGGCATTTGCTGGAAAATGGATGGAACCAAAGGCTATCATGCTAAGTGAATAAGCCAATCCCATAAAACCAAAGGCCCAATGTTCTCTCTGATATGCAGATGCTGACTCACAGCAGGTGGGGGTGGTGGGGGGAGTGGAAGTTCACTAGATTGGATGAGGGGTGTGGTGGGAGGATGTGGGGGGGAATGGGAATAGGAAAGACAATATAATGAATCCGACATAACTCTCCTATGTTCATATATGAATACACAACCAGTGTAACTCCACATCATGTACCACCACAAAAATAGGAAGTTATACTCGACATATGTATGATATGCCAAAATACACTCTACTGTCATATGTAACTAAAAAGAACAAATTTTAAAAGGAAGATATGTAGGGAGATTTACATTATATGGAGAATAATATACATAAGACAAAGAAAATGAACCAAAATATAAGTAGTATTAACCTGCTAGATGTGTTTTATTAACTTTGGATCCTTACCATTTACATTGATTTCTGAACTCATTTTACTCATTGATAACATTTAAGTTAGTACACGGCTTAGAGTGCAGGACTGTTGGTTCTGTCTCCCCCACCCCAGATTCCTGGTTCACAGAGCCTCTTTTGGCTATTTCTCTGGTCTTTGGCTCCCTATTTCTAAATAACAAGCTCATACTGTTGCTTCCTGACTTTTTGGAGCTAGATATTATCCATTGGCTTCTAATTATGAAAAATGAGACTCTAGCTCT